AGACCATTTATTGAGGAAGGCTTTAGGCTATATAACATCACGCTGCAACTATTGGGAGCGAAGAAAAAATGGAAAACGCGGACGAAGTCGCTGGCGGCTACTAGTTAATAATATAAAGGGGAAACAAAAAATATCAAATTTGAATATAAACGCCATCTAACATCGTGCAAAAATAAGTTTCACTAATATGAAACTTTCTATAGGTATACATGAGTTGTTACAAGTTCATTAGTAGAGGAAAATTTAAGAATTGTCCAATGTCACTAATACAAGCACGTACCGTGCTGATACTGTTTAGAATTCTTATCTCATTCTTAAATTGACACTTACACATACCATATCCAGATGGCAATCGCTAAACATGCGACAGGCTTACGACACTCACTCCATATCAATTCGTTCTACAATATCGAACGTAATAGGAAAACGTAGCGTTCATTATAAAGAAAAAAGATTTTAACATATTCAAATCTCTGATTAGTATTGAAGAAATATAATCACAATTATGAAATAATCGAAGCCGTGTTTAAAATTTTATGAATGATGGGGAAGTACATCTTTTGATTCAAAGTTTTCTTTAAAATTTATTTCAATCCATGTTTTCCATTGAATTAAGAAATACGTTGTTTTTAAAAACTTGTATAACAATTGGCTACATACAATATAATCAATTTTCATTCTAATAACATTTGAAATAATATTATATACTCGTATAATCACAATTGACTATCTCTAAATAAATGCGTGATTTAGTAAAATAATACATTTTTCCTGGTGACCTTTTGGCAGTAATCTTCTGCGTTCAGGTGGAAATGTCTGTCTAATATTGCATGCTTTGTGACTTATCATCTAAGAAAATATAAATATCTATTGAAATTCCGTATTGTCTACCATTATCAATAGATTTCCGATTTCTAGTTTTCGAGTATTTTCTAACGGTAGTATATTTTCTAATCGTAGCAACATTAGTCTCTAAAAGTGATCGTATAAAGCAAACTCATGTTGGTCTTTGGATTTTCGAATGTGATGAGACGAATGAGATAGATGTATAATTGCGTTGTAACTGCTTGGTCCATTCTCATTGTTTTTTTTAATTGTTTTTATAACCAATATAGTGAATTCAAACATTAGTTATTTTTGGTTTTTCATTTTATGATGCAATTTCACAGGAAAATATTTATAGTAATTTTTGGGTTTTACTATTGATAATAAGTTATATTTTAATCTTTAATCCTTTGTATATTTGTACTATAAAAATTATAATATTTTATTTATTTTTCTCCTTGGACACTTGATACTATAATTTTTTACGTATTTTTCTATAAGATAAAAATAAAATAAATAAAAAAGACAAATAATATGCTTTTAAAAAACTTAAACCTAAAATAACTCCAAAATTTCTTTCTCTGTTGCTTTCTGTCATAATTAAAGTCATCATCATAATCATCACTTTTACGTCCCCACTGCAGGGGCTTAGGCCTTCTTTATGGATGGTTAAGGAGGATGGGCCATGACCCTCCACGCTGGCCTAATGCGGAATGGATGGTATTAACGATTGCAGATGCAGCCGGCCAACAGCTTAACATGCCTTCGGAAGCACTAAGTAGCTCGAGATTTTCGCTCAGTTCATTCAAACCGTTAGTGTTTTCACTCATTAAAAATAACCCAAGTTAAAGAACGAGTGTATAGCCAAAGAAAGAGTCATTGTGCTGAAAACAAATTAACTAGTGGTTAAATTTGGTTATGGTTTAGTTTGGCATCAAAAAACGAAATAGCAGGTTAACAACTGGTTAACGTTTTAACTATAATCAAGTTAACAAAAGGTGAAATAACATTTGACTACGGATTAAAAAATTGGCTCTTAATCACTAGTTAATTAATAAGAAATAAAATTTTACATTATTTTTCGATAGTATTACAGCTATGTCACATATTGTGTATGTGAGCTCTGTGACCTGTGACCAGGTTATTGTTTATACATCTGATAGAGTTTCATTGTTTTTGCGAATAATTGAACTAAATTGCTTTAATGTTCATAATAAATCCTACATAGTTTCCAGACTAATTAATTTAAAAAATTGCAAGTAAAATCACCCTTTTATATTATAATTTATTTTAAAATTAATATGACAATTTTCGTTGCAGGTGTCAAAAAACTTTGCAAGGAATAGATTATAAAAAAATGAATATCTCGAGCAAGAGCTTGAAATGTGCTTTGAGAAGCACAGCGGACAGTGTTTTTGAAGGCACGTTAGCCGTTGATCCTGGCTGCATCAGCAGTCGTTAACAACCTTCAACTCTCATTTGGCTCATGTAGTAAGTCATGGCCCATTCCACTCTTCAATTCGATTCATAGGGAAAGTCTCCCCTTCATTCCGTAGGACATTAATAGGCTGCGGGTGACGTCGATGAGTTCAATTTTTAGGCTCTTGTGTTTCTGTGTTGGAACAACGGGTCATAAGTTGACCCCACGATCAAGATAATTGTGTAAGCATAGCTTATAAACTAAACATAATATATTGTATAGATATAATAATAATCGATGTCATCTTTCAAAAACATTGTAACTTTTTAAATTAAATTTCAAGTCTCTAATCAAGTAAGTTAAATTTCCAGGAGCAATGAAGAAACCTGGATACTTACATTCTACATGAAAGTGCTTTCCTTATTGGTATGTAATAGTTTTAACAGCGCGTATTCGATTCGATATGAAGGTGACTCATTAGTGGCTATTAAATACCTTAAATAACATCGTTTATTTTTTGATTACTTGTTTTGGATAATTTGTAATTTTTGTGGGTTAGGTTAGGCCCTGTTTCGCCAATATCAATAGTATACAAATTATTGTTAGCCATTTTTTACCAAGTAAGCTCTTAATGACTTAGGTACTGTTATAAATGACTCATAGTTTGAATTGTAAATCTATAATAGAAGCAATAAAAAGAGATATTGCAATTTCTATTTTTTTATTAAAACTATAATTGTTCAATAAAGTATCATCACCCTTAGTGTTCTTAGAATTGGTAATTTCAAATTAGGTTTCCTTGTATGTTAGACAAATTTGTATGTTTTGTAATATCTTATTCATTTGACGATTTAAATGAGATTATTTACGAAAACTCCAGAAATAACAGACAAAAAAGTATAATGAAACCATTTTATCAATTAAGTGTTTAAATTTGCACCAAAAACCGTGCATTATCAATATTTTCATCTCAGATTAATATTAGTCACATACCGACATTAAATACTATTAAGTTGATATTAACCAGTATTGCAATTTGATTAATTAAAGAAGGAGTATTCCTTTTGATTATGGCGACGGGAACACGAGAAATAAGATGTTGTGATAAAATAATAACGAAAAAACAATAGTCGTAAGTCAAAGCTTAGTAATATGTTTTTATTTATATATATATACACCTATAAATGTGAATAAGTTATCAATTATACTCACTTGTCCCATTGTGTTCAAGCCATGTTTATGAATTGTGAACACAGGGCTCATATTTTCACACACTGTGTGTACTGTATACACTAGCTTGCTATTTTACTGTTGTCCATAACACAAAAGTCTTCGAAATAAATGGAGTCATTAAGACTTGTCGTAAAATAGAGATCAGTATCGAAGTAATTGGTAGAAGGTTGGGTCACGATACTCAGTTAACACGAACTTCAATTAAAGGAATTTAGTCAACACACTAATAGATATGACTTTTAAAATAAGAAGTATTCCGGTGCTATATCTCAATGGCAGGCCACAGTTGATACAGTTTGCCACACAGTTCAAATAAGAATGAGCGTTTGAACCGAAATTAATAGATAGTCTGTGCGTGTTCAAGGCAGAGCCATCGAAACAATAGGTCATGAGGATCGGACAGGCGACTTCCCTGTGCCGCTTACGGCGCACGGTTATGACGTAGCACCACGGCTACCGTTGTAAATACTGATTGCTCGAACATCGTATCTAAGTAATAAGACTAATTGCCCCTTTAAAAGTTAATGTATTAAGTTGATCGTGTTCCGATGTCTAATCACAATTACCACTGTTGGTGTTTGCAAACAGAACATTTCAACGAAATTAATTTTAAAATGTGTAGGTATATGAAACGAAATTTAAAAGTTAAGCTTCATCGTTAAGCCTTTTAATATTTCTAGTGAATGATTGATACATTATTAATTTTACCTTTATAAAACTTAAACGGCTGCTGCCAACTATTTATACATATTCAAGAATTAGATCATTCAACGAACTCAAAAAATATATACGATTTCAACATGTTTTAAAGTCTTGAAACATAAAATTTTGAAGTGCACTTCAAATGTTTAGCAATTAGAGTCTATGACTACTGTAAGTTCATTACGAAGTGCAACTTAATTTCTTCAACAACATCAACAGAATAGCATTCATGAAATAAGCTCTTATGTTTTTGAAATAATAAATAAAAAGTGACCCAAATGAAGTCTCTGTGGAACACATCATATGAACACAAGTCGAGTTGACCTATGCCATTGCACAGAATTAATAAATGGAATTGAATAACTTCTTTCAAAAATAAATATGTGCGATTATTTATTTCTTGTTTAATTGTTTGTTTGTTAATCGGTGTAACAAAATACTGCTTCTATTGGTAATTGGCGAGTATCCAATGGTAACTAAAATAACTCTCATAAAAAAATTGTAATAAGTAATTAATCACAATATTCTTTTACACCAGCAAAAAATATCCAGGTCATATAAGTACGATCCAATGTTTACGTGTGGGTGTTATCCAGTTAATTATTTTTCAGAAGGCTCTTAGTCTTTATTTATATTATTCTTTTTAATAATATGAGCAGTCTATTTTAGATATTGTATATATACTCATAAATTGCTTTCTTAAAATATGATAAAGATATAGTGTAAAAAATGTTTAATTATTAGAGGTTAAATATAAAATTTTTGATTTGTATTGAAAAATAAAACTTTTTTAATAGACGTTATTAGTTGCCCATATTATCTAAACATCGTTACTATCTGGGTATTTAAATTCTACTAACTTCTTCTTCTTCTCTTGCAGTGTGAGATCTTTCGTTATCATACTCCATAGTACCTAATGATGTTGAATATCGACTCACGAGTCACTACTGGTTTCGCCATCATTGTTCGAAGTTCGGTACAGTAATCATCTGCTATTTTACCAGTTTGAGAAAGCTTTAAGTAAAACCACTTGATGGTTAACTTTACCCCTTTGTAAGCTTGGCGGATATGCTTATGTGCTCTTCTTCCTAAAAGCTCCGTTATTAACTATAGCCGCACTACGAACATATCAAAGATGTATATTATCGTGCATAAAATAAAACTTAATGTCAATATGTTTTGTGTGGTACATAGGATGTGAATAAACTTCCTCATAATTACCGATTCCTAGTTTATTGTGTCCCAATGGAGTAGTAAAATTCTTACATTGCTCCACCTCTAAACGCTTTAGTAAAGTCGATATATACTCTTTCTGATTGATTTCAATGATTTAATTGGATTTAATACCAAACAAAACTTTAATTCAGCTAAATCTTTCTTAGAAAAAATGTTTTGTCTAGTTATCTCTGATAGTTTGATAGAAACTGCCTGAATAACCTTTACTGAGTTTCCAAAGAGTTTTCTATGTACACACGTCTCTGGAAAAGCTTTATAAACAGACTGCTCTTTTCTTTGAAAATCCATGTAGTTTTTTTTCTATTTAGACTTCTTCTTCCAATACCCCATTCCATTTCAGGAAGACGGTGTCAACGTCCAGATGCAAACAGTTATCTAATTTGTCTTTTTAACTTATAAACCAATTTCCACTGAACTTTTCTTGTCAGTCGGTTAATTTACTATTCACAGTTTGTCTTTCTGTAAAAGCTTCTTTTGAAGTCTCTGCATTTTGAACATGTGTCACTACAGGACCTTTCAAGGTAGAGTTTTGATAGGGCATTAAATCGTATTTTTATATCAGGGCGGGACATCTGTATCGGGATAACCAACTGTCATTTCACACAAATTTTCATGGAGAAGATAGCTACATTTTTATTTTAAATTAACAATCAGAACAATCTCTTCTTTAAAACTCTTACCTATCGAGATATTGGTATACGTTGCTCAAATATGTATCATTTTCAAGATGTTAGTTTGGAAACAGACGATATCAAGTAATCCATGTTGTATTGCACTATTTTTATCTGCTTTACTTCGTAATAACTTTGTAATAAAGTTTATTTTAACACTCACCTCTTCAAAAGGTTCGATTCCTTCTTCTAACCTGCTGCCAGTCAACATGCGTTTTGGACTATGAGCATTGGCTCGTAATAGTTTTTTGTTGAGTGAGGATCCTTGATTTTTGGCCATGCTTTGTGAGTTCAGACCAGATGGGCCCGGAATGGGCCCCGATGTATTTGATAGGGTGAATACTTTCCCATGACGATATCTGAAATGGAAAATTTTTTTGGTATATTTATCAAAGACCTTTTAAATACATAAAGATGGAATTTAGTTAATCTTTCTCATGTCATATTTTTAATACACGTGTTTGGAAGCCCGTAGACTATACAGGGAGGAACAAAATGACCGACACAGCCGAAAGTTTCAAGTTAGGTTACATGCAAACGTTCATTTTATTTGACAAATATTTAAAAATAGAGGAGGTGTAAAAATGGAGTAAAAATTTTAAATTTCTAAGTGTTGACAGCCCTTTAACGCGCATGCGCAATATCGATTGTGCGCAGATTACAACGGACCGCGAAATACATTAATTTAATTTAATTATTTACCGATATCTTAATGATAGTCGATGCTGAAAATGTTCAATTCTTCTCTGAAGACAGCTAAGCACGCTCTTTTGCATGCCAGTGTATGCACGCGCAAAACACATCACATTTCACACAAAACTAAACACAATCTTCACTAAACTAAACATAACACTCAAGACGAACACTCTAGTATCTTATTAACAACAATTCAATTAAAAATGCACTAGAACAAAACAAAAATCGACAAAAAAGACGTTTCGCAGCGGTGCGTCGGCGGCGATGTGCAACAACACTCCAGCGCAAAAGGTCGGCGGCGACTGATCGACCGGACAATACCAATAGAATAATGAAACCGCCTAGCGGCTGGCGGGTGGGCGGGGCTTTGATATTGAGGGGGACGAACTCGGTTCATATTTTTTTATTCGTCTTTTGATATCACTCATTTTTTAAAGTTCTTTTTAAATGCTATTTTAATAACAAATTCCTCAATGTTTTTAAAACAAAGTTCATTTGTGTTAATGATGAATCGCTGGAAGATTTGTGAGTTTATCGAGTTTAGTTAACGATCCCGTTGTTAAAGGAGTATCACCCCATTCAAACAATTTTTATGGAGAACTGCTCTTTTAAAATAACGTAGATTAATGTTAGAGTGATCTCTCTACAATAATTTAGGAAATTTTACACTCGGTTGCTTAATTGAGTATGTAAAGTTAAACGTCTCAAACTAAGATCACTTAGTTTTCGTTTCCGATTTGGTTTTTTGATGATCAGTTGATAGCAGTTTGATAAAACTAAGACTATTTGACTTGTGAAATTAAAAAAACTTAGGTTATTGAGAATAAGCAGTAGAAATTTTCTTCTTTTTTCAAATCATAAACCGGCTGTTAGTCTGTTAATCGATTTAAGCATTTTGACTGCCTTGTTTATTGATTGACTGCTAGAATTTGCATGAAAGCAGTCTTATAAATCACAAACTAGTTTATTTTGTTTTTAGAAATGAAGAAGTCAATGACCGATTAAAAACTTTTCCTTAGTACGTCCCAAAAACAGCTGACTCAGGGTTGAAAACACTCATTTTTATTCAAAAACTTTGTAATTTAATATCACTAAAACTATTTGACCTAGACTTATAATTTTTTTTACATTATATTAAAGACAAATAGTACTCTCCAGGAACCTCGGGAGTGTCGGTCGTTCTGTTCCACCCAGTATAAATATTACGCTATTCAAACGAAATTACATACATACAGGTCTAATTGATAACCTCCTTTTTTAAATCGGAAAAAAATATAATATTAAAAGGTACCTTAAGCTTAAGTAAAAATGTCTGATAACTATCAGATCTAATAATCTAATCGTATTCAACGATATTGTTTAAATCAATGAATCTCTATAGGTATAGCTTATTCCAAATGCACCTTATTTAAAAAATCTCTTTAAATATAAATATTGTTCACGTAGGTAGAATCACTATTTAAGATGAATACTTTCAAGTTATAAATGAAACAACTTGTAAACAGTTACATCGCATTTGTAATTTAGTTTTTTAAGTTTAGGACCCTTTATAGGTTTCGTGTTTTCATAAGTCTAAGGTTTAGATTGTCTTTTTTTGAATTAAAGTTACCTTCATTATAAATCGAAGTAAAATTATTAAAAAAAATCATTTGACTTATTTATTTACCCATAGCTACCATAATCTACCATCAGTTCCAACTTTGGGAGTCTTGTCTGAGAAACAAACTCCGACAAGAGAAAGTGCATTGCTCCCGTTAATTCAATATTTACAGAATGAACTAACTGTATCTTTTGGTTTTGGAATATGTGATCTGGGTTGAGATTTTATTTGACTAATTACTGGATCCCGAGCCGGTATATACCAACCTTCATCTCTATTAAAATTCGGATGTTTTTTAATTTCAATAGCTTCGCGTATCATTCTAGGAATGAATTTTTGTTCAGCCGCAAGTATTTTTGGGTCGTCAAATCTTATGTAACACGTGTTCACACATGGCAGATTTATTTTCGCGTCTATATTTAACGTAAGCTACATGTTTCCTAACGCGAGTTCCTATGCTCCTCTTATCCGCCCGATATATGAGACCTAACAGTCGCATTCTAATTTGCACACCTGCAACTGGAAAGGGGATGGAAAGACACTTGACTGGTCTTAAGAATTGGATCTTTTTTTAAAGTAGCTATACTTATCTTTTTTTTAATTTTTAATTATACCATATTATATAATATTTAATTATAATCAACACCTTTGTCTTATGTGAAAATGGAACCTGTAAGTAAAGGGTCCGAAACGTCTAAATACAAACGCGATGAAACCGTTTAAAAGTTGTTTCATTTATCAAGAAATTAATATACTTTCAAGTTGATAATCTACCTGATTCATTTTATTTGTTAGATTATATAATGTACTTTATTTATTAAATCTTAACATTATTAAAGATAGATTACAAAAATCAAAAAGCCAGAGTTTCATAAACATCTTAACCGTATCATTATATACTCTTTCAAGGAGGGGACAATTGATTGAATTCCTTAGAACATAAAAAATTTGAAGTGTAATTTTCTGCTATTAGATTTTATATAAAAAATATAATACACGTTTACCGAGAATGACCTGACATTGAGAAATTTTGTGGCATGGGTTTACATCGTTAATCTTCATAAGTAAAGACATTAAATGAATGATTGGTATTCATGGTGACATTGTTTGGTTCGGTAAATAATACCATAAAGTAAAACACTAGGGATTAGTTCTCAATGATTCAAAAGTATACAAATAATTAATGGGATTTAATACTGAACGCTTTATTTATCCTAGGCTCCCGTAAATCCACAATCTTTAGTAAATTAATCTATTCGATAGTTTTACATTTCACTTCAGCGTAATTTTGCTATGATTTATACATTTTGATGGCGTACAGTGTGGAAAAGAAATTTAATGATCTACGTCGGATTCTATAAACAGATCGATTAATTACTTACGTATACAAGTGGTCGTCGGAGGAGTTGGCTGAAGAATTATTACGCTTGTGAATGGAGTGTCGTGAGTCCCCTCGAGCTGCCGCTATGATGTAGGCCCACATAATAGCGGCGGTGTTGATTACTTCGCCGCATTAGGCTAATCTGGAAAGGAAACAAAAATTATTTATGTTATTAAACATATATTCGAAAATAAGAAAATAGTTAATCAACCGAGAATTCATTAGTTAACTCAAAGGGCTTCAGCGATCAAAAAAAATTTTTTCCAATATAATGTTGAGCTTTTTATTAGTATTGTTTATTCTTCCTCCAGTTGCCTCCAATAGTGTTACGAAAGAATTCAATACAATATCGTGATATATTTCTCAGCGTTATCATTTTGATTCTTTTTGCGTAAGAGATTTTCCAACATCTACAGTTACTTTTTGCAACATAATAGCGAGTTTCCAACATTTCTCTTATGTTCGATATTTTTAAAATAGAAGTTAAAAATAAGATTTCTCTTCTAGGTAGACATCTGAAGGAAATGTAGAGTGAATCAAAATATTAGCATGACATTAATTATAATAACCCAAGCAAACGACGTCGGAATCGGGTATAATGTAAATCTTTTTTTTAAATACAAGTGCAAGGATTTTATACAGTTTCATAATTTATTTACTAAGTAACTGTATGTCCATTTTATTCATTTAGAATTACTTGGAATATTGCTTATCATAATGTCATTTCTTATATGATCTATAATTGTTTCCTGGTATTGCATCAATCAATCAATCAATCAATCATTTATTGCATAAAATATGGTGTAACAGATGTCATAAAATAAGCGTATCACATATTTACTGTTTGACAGTGTGCAATAGTTTTAGTAGTTATATAAATTTACATTTTAATCTATTCATGCATTAACTATGATATTATTTTATTCGCACATCATTCACTTAAAAAACATTTCATTTAGTTCCTATTACATATTATTTCAGTCTTATAGTTTAAAATTAAGTAATAGTAATAATGTCAAAATTCGAATCAATTTATATGTTACAAAAATAATAAGTCAAGTAAGCTTAATACATAAATCCATGTCAATTACAAAATAATTTTATCATACACATTATAAAATATGTCATTGTATATAATTTATTTATAGTGTCGTTGTATATAATAATTTATTTATTTATAAGCGATTTATACTCTACTAAAATTGCTTGCATTCCAAATATTCCTGTATCGAGTAAAATGATTTGTTCAGAAGCCACTCCGTCAAAGCTTTTTTAAAAATGTTTCTGTTAATCGGTAAGTCTACTAGTTTCGATGGAAGCTTGTTGAATATATTTATAGCCATATAATATACATTTTGTTTGAATAATGTCAAATTACATTTCGGAATAACAATTTTATTTTGTCTCGAACTTCGTGGGTCTTTTTTTATCTCTCTGACTTTAGTAAAATATTGTGGATTTTTTTTTACAAATAAACACAGTTCACAAATATAAATGCAAGGCAAAGGTAATATTTTTAATTCTTTAAACATAGGTTTACAGGAGTCACGTCTTTTTATACCACATATTGCTCGTATGCATTTTTTTTGAGCTATAAATAGTCTTTTCATATCCACGCTATTACCCCATATTATTACAGCATAACGTAGCAAGGACGACACGTATCCATGATATGCTTGTAAGGCTATATTTTTAGAAGCGACTATTCTGACTCTATAAAGTGCAAAAACGAATTTATCTATTTTTGTAGCTAAACTATCAATGTGATTTTTCCAGTGTAAATGTTCATCCAGAGTTATGCCTAAAAACCGCGCTGTACTTACTACGTCAATATTGGAATTTTTATAATGTATATTTAAGTTTATTCTTTTAGATTTAGCTGTATGAAATTGTATTATGTTAGTTTTTGATATGTTAATTTTTAAATTGTTTTTGTTTAGCCATTCTATTACATTGGAAATTGTGTTATTAATTTTGTTTTCTAGTTGGTCAATATTTTTATTTTGAAACAGTAGTGTACAGTCATCAGCAAATAAGAAACAGTCATTTGTGGTTATATCAGGGAGGTCATTGATGTATAGTAAGAAGAGTAAAGGTCCTAAGATGCTGCCCTGTGGTACACCATTTTTTATATTTCGATAATTTGAACGAATGGTTTCTTTGATATTACTTTCCATTCTTATTATTTCTGTACACTGTTGTCTATTTCTCAAATAACTTTCGAACCATTTGTACGCTGAGCCTCTCATGCCATAGTCAAAAAGTTTTTTCATCAATATGTCATGATTCACACTATCAAAAGCCTTTGACATATCAAGAAATACTGCCACTACAGGGACTCTATTATTTAAAGATTCAATTACTTTTTTTAACAATTCAAAATAAGCTTGTGTAGTAGACTTTCCTTCCTGAAATCCGAATTGATTATTATTGATTACACTATGTTTATCTGGTAACCTATCTTACTTTCGAAACTTTAATGTTCGAATTTCAAAACTTCGAAAACGGTATAACGAAGTTTTGAATACCAGATATGTTTTTTGTCATAATATTCTATGTAATAAATTTATTTTACACATGTTTCATTTTCCAGAAAAATTAAAAAACGATTTTCAAAAGCTGTTTTTTCTTTTTACAGATGTATTACTTTCAATACTTTTTTATTCTAGTTGTATGAAATATTGATTACTTAATCTGTACCCTATTTTTAGTAACGCACTTATTTATTGACAAAAAAAACAAGTTTTTATGTATCGTCTGATTTATTTCTATAGAAAAAATAAATTTGAATTCGAATTAAGGTTTAAGACATTGGTTTATTCAGTGCTTAATTTTGTGCAACAAAATGTATTGATAGAAGTGAATCGCTGCAAAACCGACTTCACGTAGTCTTGTCTGCCCCACCCCTAGAGTGCAATTTAAGCCCGCGTAGGCGCGGAGGGGCGAGGCGGCCCACGAGTTGACGAGCGAAAATCATCTGCCACTCGCGTGGGACCGCCGGAGCCTCGCAGCGCCGGAGCCGTGACAGAAACAATGCATGTTGTGTGCTTGAATGCCTGCTTGCATGCCTGGTTGCATGCCTGCTTGCATGCCTGGTTGCATGCCTGCTTGCATGCTTGCTTGCATGCTTGCTTGTATGCCTGCTTGCATGCTGCATGTCTGCCTGGTTGCTGCATGATTAACGCCTGCTTGAATGTTGCATGCATGTTTCAACCGAACCATATCACTTATCAAGTTATTGAAGATTATAATAAAAATACTTATAATAATAAGAATTTGAAGATTATTACCTGTAAAAGTGTCCAGTAGTTTAAAGAAATAAACAGGTACTTCATCTGGAGGCAGAAAGCTAAGTGCCAATAAACATTTAACATCCATTTTAAAAACAATTTTTTGGAAACTAAATCGTCTAAAATATGTATATTTATCAAAGGTTGAGTAAGATTTAAAAAACTATTGATTTAAAAAATATGTATATTTGAAAATCGGATTATCAGCTGTATGTCAATTGTTTTTTCGGTGAAATGAAAATATGGAAAACAAAAATGTGGCAAAACGTTTTCGGTTTAATGAAATTCGCACTGAAAAAAATCGATATTATAAAATAGGTAACCAATGCATCTCTATTGCTTATAATGATGAACTTGACTATCGAGAAGATTGTATAATCTTTTTATTTATGAATCTACTGAGTATATAATAAAAAATAGCTTACTCATTTAAAAATAAAATTACCCGGTTTCGATTGGACTCAAAGTCAAAATTACTTAATAAAATGGGTGATTATATGTGAATTTATTTAACTTAAAAGGCTAATAAATTGTTAACAACTGAGTCGGCAAATTTTTCTTCTAATAATGCCATGTGTATACAACTTCAAAATGTACCGAAACAAAAGTTTTGTCACACTATAAATAAAGGATTATCTGGTAAGTACATAAAACGGAAATAAACAAAGATCTGAAGGTTCTATAAAAATGATAACGCTCGTATAACACACGATATGTATTATTTGATCATTTTGCTTGAGAGTTTCATCACAACTGTGACTGGTGCTATCGATTATCACGTAAAACGCTATTTTACTATGTTGCATTTTATGGGAGTGTCAATGTAACTTATAGATACCTATTTATGACTCTGTGGAGGGCGTCAAATCGTTTGTTTATTTAGATTACTCTGCGTGAGTCTTAGGAAGTAATTACGAATTCCTACCTATTAATAATAATGTCTAACTTAAACTGAAATTTTCTTTGTTTTTTTTCATTACGATCATTTTCACAGGACTTTGCGTTGATGCGTTTAGAATTACTATTTTGTAGATTGCGAATTCGAGATGTAAAGCTTTCTTATGCTAGATTCATTATTTAAGGACACATTTTTTGTTCCTTTTTGGTTTTTTTTATGTAATTTTTCCTTTATCCTGAGCATTTTATTTTACCAAAAGCCATCTGGTGTTTTTCTTTTTTCTGCCTTAAATTCTTTAAACTTAAATGAAACGACTTTTAAACGGTTTCATCGCCTTTGTATTAAGTTTAATTGACATTTTGCACCCTTTATAAGTTTCGTGTTCACTTGTTTAAAGTTTGACTTTTATATTCAGTGAAGTTCAACCTTGTGTAATCATAAATCGAAGTTATAAAATATCAATTTCCTTGAATCGTTATGACTTTCTTAAGATCACAAATGTCACTATGGATAATTTCTAAAGGCATTTTTTTCTGAGTTCTTGTTTCTGAGCTAGGCTTGCTAGGTAATCTTTTCGTTTTTTGCTGTAATGCAAATTTTGCAGTCGCCTTTTTTTATTGTAGTCAAAATCTAATCCTTTTAGTTTTTCTTCTTTTAGAGCGAACTTAAGATCTTGTTCATTGATATGTCCCAATATGCCATGCCAATCTTTAATCTTATTATGAATCTTTGTGTTATTACATTTTTCTCTTGTCTTTGTATTGAATCAAATAAAATTGTTTACGTAATATAAACCATCTCTTTGTTAAATTACTTTAAGATAGCACCACCTTCAGGGTGCTTACTTTTTTAGGGTACAAACAACAAGACCATTGTTTGTAAACAAAGTAGTACATCCATTTTTTGTTATCTTG